AGGGATGGACACTGGGAAGAGGTAACTATGGGGAGGAAGTGGGAGGGGAGCTGTTGTATTGTAAATTTTGGTCAATGACATGAGACAAAGTATATGTGAACTGCTGTATGTAAAGTGAATTTACTCTGTAAATTTTCACCCAAATCAAAATAAAATTTAAAAAAAAAAGAAGTACAGCTGGAATGCTCCTTGGAAGCAAGAATGGCCAGACTTTGTTTCATCTACTTTGGTCATGTTTTCAGAAGGAACCATTCCCTGGAGAAGGATATCATGCTTAGTAAAGTGGAGGGTCAACGACAAAGGGAAGGCCCTCAATGACATGGACCAACACAGTGTCTGCAGCAATGGGCTCAGGTATAGCAAGGATTGTGAAGCTGGCACAGGACCAGGCACTGTTTCGTTCTGCTGTGCAAGGGGTTGCTATGAGTTGGAGACAACTCGATGGCACCTAACAACAATAATTTATGTCATAGACTATCAAGCATAACCCAGAATGCACAGGAGGTGGAGAGAAACCAGATGACTGGGACTTTTTAAAAATTAAATTCTTAAGTGGGTCAAAAGACTTATCCAAAAGGGTAAAAAGAGAACCTACAGATTGGGAAAAAATATTTGCCTATGACATATCTGACAAATTTCTTCAAAATTTATAGAAAACTTCAACACCTCAATCCCAAAAAGACAGACAATCCAATTAAAAAATGGGCAAGGGACATGAACAGACACTTCACTAAAGATGATATCCTGGTGGCCAAGAGACACATGAGCAATTGCTCACAATCATTAGCCATCAGAGAGATGCAAATCAACACAGCAATAATAGCAAAGCTCAACAAGACAGAAAATAACAAATGCTGACAAGGTTGTGGAGAGATTGGAACTCTCATACACTGCTGGTGGGACTGTAAAATGGTACAACCATTGTGGAAAATGATATGGCTTTTCCTTAAAAAACTGAAAAGAGAAATAGCATTTGAAGTAGCAATACCACTACTAGGAATATATCTTGAAGAGGTGAGAGACAGGACATGAACAGACATGTACACACCCATGTTCACTGCAGCACAATTCACTATAGCAAAGAGATGGAAACAACCTAAATGTCCATCAATAGATGAATGGATAACCAAATAAACGTGTATAGATTCACACAATGGAATACTATGCTACATTAAAGAACAACAAAGAATAACGCAAATCAGCTCACAACCTGGATGGATCTGGAGGACATTATGCTGAGTGAAATAAGTCAATTGAAGAAGGACAAATATTGTATGAGCCCATTACTGTAAAAAGTCAAGAAAGGGTTTGCTTAGGGAAGGGAACTCACTTTGTAGGTTACCAGGGATGGGAGAAAAGGGGAGGGGAAAATCTCGGGTAGCTGGGGGCCACATGCTGAGTAGAGTAAGGGGAGGGACAGTATGGAAAGAGTGAGATCAGCATGATAACACTGGGGAAAGGAAGGACACCAAATTGTGCACATAAGATATAGACGACAGAGGCTAATACCAATATATGCACAATACCGCATCACCATTAACACCAAACATCAGGCTACGGATAAATGCATAGACAACTCAGAAGATGAGACAGGTGTCAGCAAACAGGAATATACCCTAGACCAATGATAGATATAGCTGAGGATAGATAATCTTGCACAGATACTAGTGATACAAAACAACTACAATCATTACAGAAGCAACAAAAGACAGACCAGGTCTGCTGACTCAGGACCATAGCACTGGGGGACACCAGGCTCAACTGGCACAACATAATACATAAAAATCTTGTTCCATAACCTACTTTGCTGAGTAGCAACTGGGGTCTTAAAAGATTTCGAATGGCCATCTAAGATGCAACTAATGGTCTCCTCTCATCTGAAGTGAAGAAGAGTGAAGAAAACCAAGGGCATTTGGAAACAATCAGCCCTAGGATATGATGGATCGTGAGACCAGAAGGACTAGATGATGCCTGGCTACCAATGCCAACCACTCAGAAAGGGATCAAAACTGGAGATTCTGGATAGAGTGGGAGGAAAAATATGGAACAGAATTCAAAAACACGGTAATGACCAGAATTACTGGTTGGATGGAGTCTGGTGGGACCCCTAAGACTATAGCCCTGGGATACACTGTGGGCCTGGGATAGGACTCACTCCCAATGACTGGCTCTTGGCCCAACAGTAGAAAGACTTACATGCACAACACCCAACCCAGGGCAACGCACTCACCTACTCTACGGAGATACACCTCTTGGAGCAATTGGCCATGGGGAACCAGAGGGGCAGCATTCACGTGGAGGTAAAGCTGGACAGACTGGAGTGCATAACTAAGGACACAGGAATGGGGGTGGTGGTCACAGGGAAGAGAGAGGAGGAGAGTGGGTTAGGGTTAGGCATGGTAACCGGAGAGTGAAACCAAATGTACACAAACTGTTGAATGTAAAACAAATTTTGCTCTGTAAATTGTACCCAAAGCACAATTAAAAAAAAAAAAAAAAAAGGAAGAAAGAACGAATGGTGCTGAAGTAGGAATTTGAAACTGCATGAAAGGAACTGGCAAAAAGGAAGCCTCCAGGAATTGACAGAACATCCATTAGTATGTTTCAATGGCTGATGTACTGGAGGCCCTTACTCGTCTATGCCAAGAAATTGGAAGAGAGCTTCCTGGCCAACTGACTGGAAGAGATCCATATTTGTGCCCCTTCTAAAGAAAGATGATCCAAAAGAATGTAGAAATTATCCAACAATATCACTAACATCACATGCAAGTAAAACTTTGCTGAAGATAATTCAAAAACAGTTGCAGCAGTATGTTGACGAGAACTTCCAGAAATGCAAGCTAGATCCAGAAGACGAGGTGGAATGAGGGATATCACTGCTGATCTCAGGTGGATCTTGGCTGAAAGCAAAGAATACCAGAAAGATATTCACTTGTGTTTTATTAACTATACAAAGACAATCGACTGTGTGGATCATAACAAACTATGGATAACACTGCGAAGAATGGGAATTTCAGAATACTTAATTGTGCTCATGAGGAACCTGTACATAAACCAGGTGGCTGTCGTTCAGTAAGAATAAAGAGATACTGCACAGTATAAAATCAGCAAGGGCATGTGTCAGGGTTGTATCCTTTCACTATACTAATTCAATCTGTATGTTGAACAAATAATCCAAGAAGCTGGACTATATGAAGAGGAATACAACATCAGGATTGGAGGAAGCCTCATCAACAACCTGCAATATGCAGACAACACAACCTTGCTTGCTGAAAGTAAAGATGCCTTTAAGTACTTACTGATGAAGATTAAAGACTATGGTCTGCAGTATGGACTATACCTCAACAAAAAGAAAGGAAAAACCCTCACAACTGGACCAATAAGCAGCATCATGATAAATGGAGAAAAGATTGAAGTTGTCAAAGATTTCATTTTACTTGGATCCACAATCAACACCCATGTAAGCAGCAGTCAAGAAACTAGACATCATATTTCCCTGGGCAAATCTGCTGTAAAAGACCACTTTAAAGTACTGAAGAGCAGAGATATCTCTTTGAAGACTAAGGTACACCTAACCCAAGCCATGGGAGCTCTGGTAGCATAGTGGCTAAGGCACCTGACTGTTAACCAGAAGGCTGGCAGTTCAAACCCACCAGCCACTCCTCGGAAGGAAGATGGGGCAATCTATTTTCACAGTGATAATGCCTCGGAAAACCAAGGAGGGGTCGCTATGAGTCAGGTCCGACTCGACAGCACATAACGACAACAACAACAACACAACAACCCAAGCCATGGTATTTTCAATTACCGCATATGTATGTAAAAGCTGGACAATGAATAAGGAAGATGGATGAAGAGTTTATGCCTTTGAATTGTGATGTTGGTGAAGAATATTGAAAATACCATGGACTGCCAGAAGAATGAACAAATATGTGCTGGAAGAAGTGCAGCCAGAATGTTCCATGGAAGCAAGAATGGCCAGAGTTCATCTCACTTACTTTGGTTATGTTTTCAGAAGGGACCATTCCCCGGAGAAGGATATCATGCTTGGTAAAGTGGAAGGGTCAGTGAAAAATGAGAAGATCCTCAACGAGATGGACTGACCCTATGGCTACAATGACAGGCTCAAGTATAACATGGATTGTGAGGATGGCACACAACCAGACAGTGTTTAGTTCTGTTGTACATAGGACACTATGAGTCAGAGCCGACTCGACATCACCAAACAACAGTTTCTACTCTTAACAATAGAATAAGTTTATATTCCAAGATACAGTTTTTCTGAAAAACTTATTGCAGGATTTTTAGATTAACAGAATTCATAGATACAATTGTCACAGCAGGAAGCTAGAGATGAAATTCAAGTTTTGTAATTAAAGCTGATACAATAAATAGCAAACAGATAAATAACATTTGTATGCATAAATTTTCTGACGTTATGTGTAAAATCCTTAATTGTGATACTTAAAATATAAGTATTATACCACAGTTAAAGTGTGTACAGTGGTAAAATTCTATAGAAAATTAGACTTACTCTCTATATATCTAAAGAAATTATTAACAGCTATGAATAAATATATATATATGATGATTTAAATTACCTTTCTTCTTCTCGAAGCCATAGTGGAGTTTTAGGAATTTGTGCTTGAAAAAACTTAGATGCTTGATAACAAAAATTGCTGCAAAAAGACTAAAAAGAAAATATAAAAACTAGTAAATTATGTATTCTAATTGCAAAACATAACTTATGTACTGAAGAGTATAAAAAGAAATGATTTATAAACAAATGAAATGAAAAACCATGACTATCACCCAAAGTAAGAAATAAGGTACAGCACCTTTGAAGGCCTCGGTATGCCCCTACTCAATTGTACTAATCTGCACATCCCTAGAGGTAATAACTACTATCCTAAACTTTATGTTAATCGTGCCCTTGCTCTTCTTGAATTTTACCACCTATATACATATTCTTATAAGATACACCATTTAGTTTTGTCCATTTTTAAAACTTCATCTAAATGGAATATTGTTTTGTATTCTTATCTTTTATACTACGTTTTTGAGATTCGTTCATGTAATTGTAGTTTGTTCATTTTCCCTGTGTATTGCAATTCACTCTGAAAGTATATTACATTTTGTTTACTGTTTATGGACAAGTGAGTTATTTCTGATTTTCCTGCTGTCACTCAATATAATGCTACACGCAAGTTCAACTTTACTAGATAATGTCAAAAAGGTTTATGAACTTTTACTCTCACAGCAACATAAAAAGTTATCTGTCAGATTTTTATAATTTTGCTAATTTGGGGGCTTTGAAATGTAAATCAATCTGTTATTTGTTATTTGCCTGATTACTAATGAAGTTGAGTGTCTTTCATATAGTCACTGGCTATTTAAGCTCTTTCTGTAAAATATCTATTCAAGTTTTTGATCATTTTTTAAAAATTAGGCTTTTTCTTATAGATTATATATTCTGGATATGAATATGTGAGTTATATGTGAAAAATATAATTTCTGACTTGTGGCTTATCTTTTCACTCTGCTTTGGAAACTTCTGGTGAACAAAATTTTAATTTTAATGTAGACAAATTTATCAATTTTTTCTCCATAGTCTGTGATTTTCTGTTGTACTTAAGAAATACTTCTCTACACCAAATACTATCTATACTGTCTTTGAAAAGTTTTGCCTTTTATACTTAGGTCTTTAATCTACCTAAAACTGATCCTTGTATCTGAACTGAGGTAGCAATCAACTTTCATGTTTTCCACATTACAGCACCATTTATTGAAAACTTCATGCTTTCACCAATGATCTGCAATACCCCTGCTATCCACATATGTAGTGAATCTGTTTCTGGCTCCCTCTTCTGTTTGTGATCTAATTGTCTATTGCTGTGCCAATATGCACTTTCAACTTTTAAATGTTCAAGTTAAACACTACATCAAGTTTAGGCAAAAGTTTTTTAATCCCATTTACAAATAAACGCAAAATTTTAATATGGTTCTTCTCCAATAGGCACTATTATAAAGTTATTTTTATCATTTTATTTAGTTTAATATTAAAAACTAACTATTATACTGAAAATAAACTTACCTTTCTTTCAGTAATATCATAGACTTTATTGGTTTTGGTAGAAATTTTGTATTTCTGTTTTGGTACCTAAAGAAAAGAAAGTACAACTTACAAAGTAATTCAAATAATAAACGTGAACTTTATGTTACGAGATTAAGTCATCTATATATCTCATCTATGGCCAATCTGTGTCATTAATTCATGACCTCAGGTTTAAGTTCTTGTTTTTTCTACAAATTATCTTGTTAAGTATAAAAACAAAAGCTTATATTAAAAAGAAAATGAGTAGTTCACTTACAATTCCCAGCTTCTTCTGACATAAAGGATAGCCACAGAGTTTGCTAATAGAACGCTCATCCACGACATCATTGTAGTGAGCAGATGTGATGAACTTTCCCTATAATGAAACAAGGGGGCACTGCCCCTCAGATTAAAGGAAATCAGATCGAACCCATTACTGTCAAGTCAATTCTGACTCATCGCGACCCTAAAGGACAAAGCAGAACTGCACCACAGGGTTTCCAAGGCTGTAATCTTTATGGAAACAGACTGCCACGTCTTTCTCCCACAGAACAGCTAGTGGGTTCAAACCACTGACAGGTGGGTTGGCAGCCAAGCACTTAACCACTGTACCACCATGGCTTTGCTCAGATTAATGGAAAAGTTCATTTATCAGCCCTCTAAGCCTCATTTATCTCATCTGAAAACACAGTACGTGCCTCACGGTTTTGAAGCTAGAATTAAAGGAGTAAATAAAAACACTTAAGAGAAATGTTGGACACACAATAAGGACTCAATAAATGTTAGCTGTTATTATAAAAAATTCTTTGGAAATCATATAACTTGTGGAATAACTGAAGCAGGAGGAAGAAGTGGTGCTATAGTGATTGCTGTACCAAAGAAAAACGATGAAGAGTTATTTTTGTAATAGTAGCTCTGCTTTTTAAATTTCATTTTCTTTCTCCTCTTAAAAATGATGAAGTTAAAAATACCCATTCAAAATTTTAATATTTTAAATGTTACAAAAAGCAAACAAATTTAATGTACATTATAGCTCTTCACATGTGTTAAGTCATAAATGATCCATATTTCAGGTTTTTAAAATATCAAAATTAATAAAACTACACTAACAAAATAATCTTTTATTGCATAAAACAGTACAACATACAGAATACAGCAAAAAATGCCTCTTGATCACCAGTGGAAAATGAGGAAAATCAAGGGAGGTTAGCAAACTGATTAAAAGAACTATGATAAAGTGATAAAATAAACATTATTTTTCATGAGTGTTATAAAGTCATTTTACAACAGTTGATTATTCTCAAACACTGTGTCTAGTGATGAGAAAAGATTCAAAGATTTTAATAATGCAATGTTTCAAATTATACAGACTTAAAGGTCTTATGCTACAAAAATAATTATTTGGTAACTTAATACTTACACACTCCAATAGGAATTCTTCTGTAATATTGTCTTCTAAAAGCTGTTCAACAATATGTAGAGCTTTTCTCTCAAACTCAATCTTCCTTCTCACAGCTGCTTCCACTTCTGCTTTCCTAAAGTTTTAATGAAAAAGTTATTCTACTTACAAGGTTTATCAAAGCCAATTCCTTTTTTAAAAAAAATTTTATTTATTTTGTGTGTAAACCTATTCTTTTATTATTATTTTTATTGTGATTTGGATGAAAATTTAGAGCAAATTCACTTTCTGTACAACAGTTCACACACACTGTCACATGACATTAACTACAATTTACCCCAATGCAATAGCTCCCCTCCCACTTCCTCCCAAGTTACCTTTTCCCTGTGTCCATACCTCCATGCACTCCTGCCCCCTGAGCTATCTCCCTGTGCATAAACAGCCCGTCTTTCTCCCACGATTGATCTCTCAAAGGAGTGTATCTACCTAATATAAATGTTCAACTCATATGCCTGTCTTTTCTTTGGCTGGAAGCCACAGGTATGGATTCAATTCCAGACCTGAAGGGCAGCTAGGGGACACAGTCTCAGTGGTTCCACCAGGCTCTACCAGACCAGCAAGCCTGCCCGCCCCCCCCCAAAAGCTTTTGAGTTTTGTTCCACATTGTTCTCCCTCTCTATCCAGGATCTCCTACATAGATCCCCCTCTGAGTGGTTGACAGTGGTAGCCGGGCACCATCTAGTTCTTCTGGTCTTACAGTCATATAGGCTGCAGACTGCACGGTGTACCAGTTGCTATGACTAATTGTTTCCATGAATTTTGGTTTT